AGATGTTCCTTTTCTGCGGGGAACTATCTAGTTCAGTTCATGGTAGCTCCATAGGACAGACTGGGTATCCATCATCTCAGGTTGTCTCTGCAACCTGCCGTGGAACGGATTGCTTGCATCCCGGCCTGTTGGCTCATGCTTAAAAAGAGACACATTTGGCAATATGAATGTCTGTCAACACTGCTTCAGTGTACTTTCATAATCTCCTCCCTGAGGATGCAAATGCACATCTCTGGTAGCCTTTCTTGAATTGCTTCTGTGGTATTTGTAAAGCGTGTTAAATTTCTTTGAGCTTTTAAATCACGGTGGCTGTCCTCATGGTTTGCAAAGCCACACCTTTCTTTGGTGAGTGTATGTCAGTTCTAGCCCCGTGCTGGTGTGAGCAACCAAGCCTTGTCCCCTAGCTCATCGTCTGCCCAGAGATTTGAAAGCTTCGGCAAGTAGATAAATTGGGGACCACCCGTAAGGGGGTGGGCACACCACTCCCCTTGGGAGGTGTTAGCTGCCAGTGCGACATCTGCTCGGTGAAGATCAAAAAAAGTGGGAAAATCTGTTTCAGCATCCCCTGCAATGGAGCGAATCGGCCAGCCGGTGGCAGTGTGGCAGTGCGGCAGTGCGACATTGAGAGCCCTGAGTCGTCATTAGCCAGCCGACAGAATACATGCCGTCGGGACATGACTGATACAGCCTGCAGATGGATCCTCCGACCAGCTACAATGTGTGTGTGATTAAATATTGTATGTTGTCTTCCTTATCCCCCACGAATACATTATTAGTCCATTGTCTCGGAGTAACTGTAAATCGCTCTGAGCCCGCATGAGTGGGGAAAAGCGATCAATAAATTGAAATTATTATTATTATTATTGTTGTTGTTGTTGTTGTTATTCCCTTCGGCTGTCTCTGTTTACCAGGGACTGCCCCTGTTTCTGTTATCACTTGGTAATTTGTGGTCCCTACATCTAGAGTTCCAAAGTCCCCCTTGGCCACCGAAGGGGACTAGGGGGGTGTTGGGTTGCCAGATCCAGGCTGAGAAGATCTTAGAGATTTGGGGGTGGAGCCTGGGGGGGATGGGGTTCTCATTGGGGTACAAGACCATAGAGTCCACCCTCCAAAGCAGCCATTTTCTCCAGGGGAACTGATCTCTGTAGTCTGAAGACGAGCTGTAATTCCAAGAAATCCCCAGGTCCTGCCTGGAGGCTGGTATCCCTACCTACATTGTTGTGATTTGTGTGTGTGTGTGTGTTTGTGCATGTGTGTCTTTGGGATGCCAGGGTGGTTGGGCCAGTCTGTAGTAAGAGCAAAGGGATTTCTGGCTGGGAGAGACTGACTGGGTGAGCCACCTGGCTTAATGGAGGGGGAAGCCATAGGGTTGTCGGCTCCTGGTTGGGAAATACTGGGAGATTTTGGGGGTGGAGCTTAGGGAGGGCAGGGTTTGGGAGGGGTAGGATCTCAGTGGTATATATAATGCCAGAGAGTCCACTCTGCAGAAGTGCCATTTTCTCCTGGGGAACTGATTTCAGTTGCATGGAGATCAGTTCTAGTTCTGGGAGATCTCCAGGCCCCAACAAGAGGTTGGCAACCCTAGGAAGCCCACATGCCCTAGCCCTTAACTGAGGGTGCCCCAGACCAAGGCAGCCACGAAAGCCTGGATCCTAAGCCTTTTTTCTGTCTGCACTGCACCGTTTGCCCTTGCTGGGCACTTCTGCTCACGCAAGACCAGTGTCTTTCATGGAGACGGAAAGCACATGGCTGCCTTTGCAGTAGATGGGACGCAATGCCAGCAGGGTTGCCAGCTCCAGGAAGAAAGAGAAGCACACAAGTCTGGGGTCAGGAGTTTGAGTTCTGTACAAAGTGGGGTAGCAAAAGGGATGCCAGTTCTGGGTTGGGAAATTCCTGATGATTTTGTGGGTGGAGCCCGGGAAGAGCACGGTTTGGGGATGGGAAGGAGCTTAGTAGCATGTAATGGCACAAGGTCCGCTCTCCAAAATTTCCACTTCTCCCAGGGGGAGTGATCTTTATGTCCTAACGGCTGCCTCCCACCCTCTTTTTTCCTCTAAGTAGCCCTTGAGGAGATTTTATTTCTATTTGTCTGAAGAAGTGTGCTTTGCACACGAAAGTTTACACTCTGAATAAACCTTTGTTGGTCAACATGGCTACCCACACGAATGTTTCTTGTATTTAGCCATCACCAGGAGAATTATATAAATAAACTATAGATCAAAATACAATTTTTACCTATTTTGGTTCTTGAGTATTTATTAATTCTAGGTACAATAAAGTCATAGAATCATAGAGTTGGAAGAGGCTATACAGGCCATCTAGTCCAATGCCCTGCTCAGTGCAGGATCAGCCTAAAACATCCCTGACAACTGTTCATCCAGCCACTGTTTAAAGACTGCCAGTGAGTGGGAGCTCCCTCTCTCTAGGCAGCTGATTCTACTGCGCAACTATTCTTACTGTTTTTAAAAAATCCCACTATCCAGCTGGTACCTTTCCACCCATAATTTAAACCCACTGTTATAAGCCCTATCCTCTTCTGCCAACAGGAACAGCTCCCTGCCCTCCTCTAAGTGACAGCCTTGCACATGCTTAAAGAGAGCAATCATGCTCCCCCTCAACCTCCTCTTCTCCATACTGAATGTTCCCAAGTTTCCTCATAGGCCTTGGTATCCAGGCCTCTGATAATCCTTGTTGTTCTCTTCTGTGCCTGCTCAGTTCTGTCCACATACTTTTTGAAGTGAGACCTCCAGAACTACACATAGTATTCCAGGATTATGATATTTTGCAATGTTGATGTTATGCCTCTGTTGATATACCCCAAGACTACATTAGCCTTTTTTGCTGCTGCATCACATTGAATGTTCATATTTAGCTTATAGACCACCCATATCCCAAGATCTTGTTCATACACACTGCAGCCCAGAAGCATATCCCCCATCCAGTATACATACTGCTCATTTTGTTACCTAGATGTAAAACTCTGCATTTGTCCTTGTTGAGTTGCATCTCGTTCACATCTGCTCATTTTCCCAGTGTGTTCAGATTCTACTCAATGTCATTCTACTCAATGTCATTCTACTCAAATGTCATTCTACTCTATACAATGTCAACTACTCTTTGGGTGTGGTTCCCTATTCTGTTCCCTATCTACCTAACTATCCTAGAGTCCAGTCTGCAATCCTCCAGTTTACCTATCAGAATGTCATGGGGAACCCTGTCAAAAGCTTTACTGATATCCAGGTAAACAATGCTGGCATCGTTTCCAATATCTGTCACTTGATCAAAGAAAGAAATGAGGTTGGTCTGGCAGAACCTGTTGGAGACAAATCTATGCTGACTTCCCTGAATCACCAAGTTGTCTTTCAGATGGTCATAGACTGACCCCTTTAAAATCTGCTGCAATGTCTTCCCTAGGACAGAGGTCAGACTAACTGACCGGTACTTTCCTAGGTCATCCTTCCCCTCTTTTTTAAAGGTTGGGATAACATTGGTCCTTTCTGCACCTGGATCTCATCCCTGGTTATAACAGCATCCATTTATCCCAGGACAAGTGTGGGGCGAAACCAGGTGACCTCAGTGTAATGTGGAAACAAAAAATGCCCAAAGATAATTACAGGGGTGAACTAGAGTCTAGTGTAGAATGAATGAATCAGGATTTAAGGTCTAGTGCAGAAAAGGCCATTCATCCTCCTCTAGTCTTGTGGCACATCTGCCATCCTCCAAGAGATCTGAAAGATGATGAGCAAAGGCTCTGCAAGCTCTCTATAAAGTTCTTTGAGCTCTTTCGGGTGCACGCACCATGTGGTTTCATGCAACAAGTGTATGGTTTCATGCAATATGGGGTAGTGCCAGATTAAGACATGCTGAGGCCCTAAACTGTGTCAAATTTAAGAGACCCCATAGCATTATCACCCATACTGTGTGTATTATTCTAACACTGAAATGCTGTAGATTTTTTTTATATTTAGAGAACTCTCATAATCTGAGGACCTAAATTACAATTTACTTAGTTTTCATGTAAATATAGTTTTGGTAACAGGCAAGACAAATGATGCTATGGAAATGTTGATAAATTTCATGTTTCACATCTTTTAGCACAAAGATGTTAACTTCCACTTTTTACTAGGGTCCTGTCCACCTTTGTTTTATGTTCTTCTCCATCACTTCCTTGATTACAGCATCGTCAGCCCTATGAAAAGAGAAGAGACACAATAGCATTGGGTTTTGCCGACCAGCTTGGTATCATGAATAATGTATAGCTAATGGCATTGTAAAAAGGACAGACAGCAGACAAAAGTTGGCATGAAAATGGATTGCCACATTACTCTATGCTTGTAAAGAGTTTTGCAGCAATGTTTGAAACGCAGTGCTTGCAATGGATTGTTTCCCAAAGACTATGAAAAATCTGACTCAGAAGTAAACATACTGAATGCCATTTCTTTTCAGAGAGGGAAACAAAGTTCAGCTTGTCAGTACTATCATATTTACCTGAAAGAAAGGTGACCCTGAATGTGAGATGACTCCCTTTAAGAAGTTAATATAAAAGTTTTTTTTAATTGCCCTACATATCTGTAATGTAAATTTAAGACAACCCCAATTTTTTGTGTCAATGCTCCTGGGCGGCGGGGGGAGTATTTCTTAGTATGTAATAGAGAGGGAACTTGTCAAAGGGTGGCCAGCACAACACAGCAAATCTTAAGGAAAACAAGTATGTAGTAGTTAACTGAAGTTTATCTGGATGTATTATTTTCAGTTAAACAGTTAAATCTTCACTATGATTTTCTTCCCAGGGATTGTTCTTTCAGGCAAAGGTGTCTGATCACTACATTGTCTTTTCTCCCAACTACATCATTTGAAATCTGGTCTTTAGATTCATTTTGTGTATGGACTTTCATTGTAACCAAAGATGCAGGAGTTGTCAGTGATCCATGACAGCAGTAACATAAGATGGGGACCTATCTTACATAGGTTCATATGTAGTAAAACATTATCTAGATTACATTATCAGTGTAATTGTGCTACCTGTTTTATTGATTTTAAAGATTGGTGTAGTATTGTACATCACTCTGTCTGGCCAAACTAGATAGGTAGCTTTAAAAGCAGTCTAAAATAAATACAAATAAAGATCGCATACTGTTTTTCATCTTGGATCAGTTTTAAATAGCACAATACTTAAAATTAAATTATTGGGAATAGTAATTAAATGATTGATAACTATGACCAAAGTAACAGTGGGCCTTTAAAAAAACCTGAATAAATTTCTTCTTTCTTCATCATTAGCCACTTGTTATGAGACAATACATAATTTACAAAGGTTGAATGTAGAAAATCACCTGTCATAACTTCATTTTGACTAGGCCCCAGAGAATAAAGGCCTTAAAGTCAACAGCAGAATTTTCTAATTAGAAAAACAGAGAGAGAGAGAGAGAGACAAAGCAGGAGTCCCATCACATGGAGGAGGCAAAGGAGAGGGGGATCTTCTTAATAAGGATTTCTCCGACTCACTGGTGTGATCCTGATAGGGCTAATTTCATTGTGACATGGTTTTATGTGGTTATGTAAATGGCAGCGGCCTCCCTTTGTCAGCAAGAGAGTAATTTTCCCCAGAGCTTTCTCATTGTGAAA